GGAAAAAATGATGGATAGTCACATGCATTTTTGGCCTCTGCAAATACTTGTCATGGTGGATTCTAAGAGCACGTCTCCAAGGTTATACTTTGCATATAAATGTAACCGTTTGAGAGGTCACATTGATATGGATTGTGCATGAAACTGTTTTTGCAGTAAGTTAATATTCAGATTGACTGATGAGCAAGATGTTCTGATTGAAATTAAGTTTTATAACCCAGTTTGGCAAACCACCATCATTAATGCATTTAAGTAGATTTATTTACTGGGGCATCAACCTCAATTTGCATCATTTTTATTAGAAATAGTCATACATTTATGGTGTTTACATTACTGATGTTGCATTCCAAGGGAAGTTACTTTCAGCATACATTAAAACTATATGTACGCTTGACTGTGTAACTGTTTTTGTGTGTGTGTGTGCCAATGAGATGTCTTTGCTTTATTTAAAATTTATTTTTAAATTTATAACTCTTTGAAAGTTCCCTGCTAATGAATTGTTTTTCCCCAGTTATTATGATTTATATTAGCCTGCTTCTTTTGTTTATACCGTTTAAAAGTTTTCTAGAGTTTCAAAGTTTAAATTTTAAATAATGTTGCCTTACGTTTTTAAAAATAATATATAACACATTAATCAGTTAAAATTTCTGAGTTATTTTCATTCTACCCTTATTTTTAGAATTTGGACATTTTTAGTGAAATAATTTATTATATTAATTGTTTAAAATACTTAAATGCCATTGTATATCTGTTTCTATATTCATATTCGTGATACATAGTAATCAGTGAGAAGCAGTTGAGTCCCCCAAAGGGAATGGAAACTTGTTTCAAAATGTTTACATGAGATTTCTTAAAACTTACTCTTTTTATTTCCATTTTTTAAAAGCATAGACTAAAACACTTAGTTCGGGGATTAAAAAGCATATGGGTTTTACTGTAAAATGCACATGTGAGACATAGTTTATAAAGAGTGAATAAATGGAAGGAGCTAGGCTTTTTTCTTCAGAAAAAGTGGGGAAAGCAAAGAGGCTAACAACTATTGGTATCATCTACTGTGCTTAAGTGTCTTACGTATAATGACTGTATAATCCTGACAATAGCCCTGTACAGTAGGTAGCATTAACACCATTTCAAAGGTGATGGACCAAAGTCTTTCAGCTCCTAGGAGCAGAGCCAGAATTTCAGAGTCACGCCTAGTGCTTCCTTAAGACAGAACTGCTCATCTGTCTCTTTTGTGAAAGAGTGATACTTTCCACAGGCCAGCAGAGACAAACAGGATCCTAGTACCCTGCCCCTCCAAATATAGCTCATACCAAAGAGTAAAGCAGAAAAACTGGAGATGTTGAGGAACAAAGCATTGTATTCTAAAGAGTACCTGGCAGTAGAGGTTTGCAGATGAATTTAGGACTCTGAAAACAGAATTTAGCAAAGAAAATCGTAGCAGTTAGGCTATTCCAGTGAGTCAGAAATAATACTTGGACTTCTTTGTTTTTGAGTTTTTGCTCTTTAGTATTAAAACCTTGTAAAGAGAAGGTGGAAGCTAAGAATATATTAATATTTAAGATACTAGGACATAAATGGGCACACACATAAAGAGAGAAATCCCCCCAAATCATATACTGTTAGTAAGCAAACATTCGCAGTTTATTCGTTCTCACTAATATTTAGAAATACACCTGAAGAGATTTCTGTTTTAAACTTGGTGGAAGTATTTTAAAAGTAATAGTCAGCCATGTAAGGGGCAAAACTAAAAGCAGAAAGCCTGGTTTGGAGGCTACCACAAGGATCTAGGTAAGGCCTGAAGTAGGCTTAGAACAGGTTTATTTTGAAAGTCAAAACAACAGGATTCCAGGGGTATCAGATATGCAAGGGTGTAAAAGGAAAAAAAAAGTCAAGAATGACTCTAAGGGTTTTTGGTTTGAGAATATTGCTCTAAATTATAACTCTAAAATGCATAATTTACAATAATGCTCTTTAAAGTATTCTCATTATGTAGGCAGTTTCAAAATTAAAAAGAAATAGCGAGAATAATCACAAGAATGTCATCTTTATTTGAATTTGTTTGACAACTAGAAATCAATAGTGTAAGTTCAAACAGATCAAAAGTATCCAACCCCTTGGAAATGAAAAATAACTCATTTAAAAAAAGGATCCAAAGAAAAATAAACAGTAGAAAACTTAAGACCAAAATCATCAAAATCTATAGCATGAGATGAGTCTTGAAAGATGAAAAAGAGGTCACGAAGAGAAGGGGCTGAAAAGATTTCAGGTAGGAGGACAACCCATGTCAAAGCAAGACTAGTGAGAGAGCATGGCGCCCTTGGGGAGCACTAAAAGTTCAACCCGGGCTCGGTTAAAGAAGGAAATGGTGAAGGATAGGCAGGGCCCCATCATCCATGGCATAGTATGGCCATGCCGGATAGCCACATTTCATCCCGAATGTAATGCAGAACCAGTATAGGATTTCTCACTGGGAGAAATATTTAAACAAAGATGAGTATTGGGTCCTCATGAAAAGATTTTTATTTAGTATATAGTTCTGTTTTTCCCCTCTGGTTATTAAGAAAACAAGAAGTCTTGGTGTTTTTTACCAATCTATGTAAGAAGATATAAAATCCAAATGTAGATCACGTCTACGTTGTTTTCCAGGAAACTTTCCCCTAATTTTACTCAAAGTTAGTATCATTCATGTAGGAACTTACCAACATTCTTATGATCTAACCAACTTTTTTCTTAAGTTACTGTTTCTAACCCACTTTTGTAATAAATATAAATGATTTCAAATTAAATGTAATCATTGCTGCATTATTTTGGTTGACTACCCATCTCATCTCTTACATTAAGCTTGAAGTAGACTGAGGGCAAGAACCCCATTTCCAGAGTTTTTTTGGAAATGACAAAATGTATTTGTTGTTAGAAAGAGATACTGTTTCTCCCAGAGCCCCCACATGGGTGTTTCTTAATAAATTGCACTGAGAATCTCAGAAAATAAAAATAAAATAAAGTAAAAGCAGTAGTCAGTTTATATACCTTGCAAAGGTTATTCTCAGTTAAAACTTTCATGACTTGGATGTTTCAAATAGAAACAAGTGTTTTAGAGAGTAATTTTATAATGTATACTGTTAGCAATTAACATTGTATCATCATCGGACCCAAGATCTCTCTTGAAAATGTTTTCTAGGAAAGCAATAGAGAATTAGAGAAAAATTCTGTTGCATAACTTCTATATATATGTTCATCTTAAAATTACTTAGATGCTCAACAGTAGAGAATTGGAGTTGTGAAAGCAGGTATAATAGTTACTTGAGGTAGGACGTTGCTTACTTAGCTCTTAGTCGGGTGGGTTGGTTGGTTGTTTGGACAGATGAGAGGGAGCGTAGGAGGGAGGCAGGCAAGGAGGCTGGCTGGCCTTCTTAAAAAAGGGGTTTCGAGCTATTAAAATGATAACTGTAGCCACAAGGAAGTGAAATACACAGGATAGAAATTACTTGTACTCTGACAATCGGCTGCAGCACTTAAATCTGGAGTAACATATGAAAATGCAGTGCATGTGAAAAATTAATGGAAGGAAACACACATGATTTTTCCCTATGATGTGGTACTTTTATATGATTATTTAAATTACATAAACTCTTAGGTTTTAAATATATTTTACCCTGGTAATAACTATGGAATGCACTGTGGGTCTGTGATAAGGTAAGCCTGTCTATCCACTGAGTCTCTAATATTATGCTGCACAGACATCCTCATTCACTTCTTGGGACCTATCCTAAGTTTAGATTTAAGGCATATCCTAAGTTTAGCTGTTGTTGACTTCCTGGTTGTAATTTAGCTTGATAAATAATAATTCAGCTTGGTAAAGCTGGGCAATATTCTTTTCTGTTAGAATTACTTCACTGTGTCTGTGTAGTTTTAGAGTATATATGTTTATGGGTAGAGAAAACAAAACCCTTTCTTCTGCATGAGAATTTGATCTTTGCTTAACTATCTAGGTCTCTTCCCTTGAAAACCTGATAAAAATGCCAACTGTGTTACCAGGCAACATTGCTTGTAGTAAAAATTATTCTGGCCCTGGACTGGGAGAGTTCTTAATACTTGATGGAAGGCATAACTTTGGGCATCTTGGAGCTCAGTGACTTTTATAATGGGTATGATGCCTGTGTGATGTGAGGTTTTGATGCCAGAGTGTCTCCCATATCTGTCCCATATGGATCTCATCTCCTGAACTGTTGGACTGCTTCAGGGATCCGGCAGAAGGGAAACACCCAGTGCTGCTACCCTGGCAGACTGTAGTCCCTTCCCTTCATCCTTCTGAGTAGACTTGGTGCCATGGGGACTTCAGATGGTCTCGTGGGTCTGAATGTTTGGCTGATCCTAAGAAGACCCCCTAGAGGGTACTGCAGTAGTATAATTCTACAGTTTTTAATTTTCTTTTCCAAGTGAGAAAAATAGTATTTTAACTATACTATATCAGTTAATTTTTTCTGTTTTATGAGTGCTTTGGAAGGAACTTTAGAGTATGAGTCAGGACACGTGGCTTTTAGTCCTAGTTTTTTAATAATGAATTATGTTACCTTGAACAAGTCACTTAATCTCTCTGAAACTCAGTTTTCTTAAGTATTAGATAAGAAATTTGACCAATGTCATTTCTGGTGTCCCTTCCAATTCTAAATCCTATAGTTCTCTAATTTTCTTATCATCATAAGTTAATTTTTAAGCCTCTCTTATGGGAGCATGTCATATTTCTTTTAGCCTGGCAGGTGATCAGATAGCTGAAAGCCTAAAGTGCTGTAGTGTACATTTTATCAAATTTAGGTTTGGGAAAAGTTGTCACATTTTAGCTGTATAGTTCCAGAAGAAACGTTTACTGCCTATACAATAGAATTTAAAGAATTTAAATTAAAAATACTTGAGGAACTTTGGGAAGGGAAAACCAGTTAGAATGCAAGTTTGAAAAGTTTTTGATTATTTTAAAATTTCATCTCACCTTCCGTTCATAGGTTGTGAACTGGCTTGAAGGGCCTGGATCAGAACAGCTGAGAGCCCAGTGGGGGATTGGAGACTCCATTCGGGCTTCCCAAGCCCTACAGCAGAAGCACGAAGAGATTGAGAGCCAGCACAGTGTGAGAGGCTTTTTCCTCTGCAAGTTACAGAGCTATTATTAATGTGCATAATTAATAGCATGTGTGGTACTACGTGATAAGTTGCTGTACACCTTGGTTTAGGGGCATAACGTACGGTATGTTTAATGGCTATCAAGTACATTTTGACCACTTAGTACATATTCATTAGAAGTTTGGTTTTGGTTTTGTCTCCAGTATAGCTTAATTATATATTTTTATAGAAACACAATTCATGTGAAATTTTTAAAACTACTGTAACAGAAGAGTGATAGTACAAAAATGCAACCTTTATCTAGTCCTTAATTTAAAAAGTATAACCTCAGTAACAGGAGTTGTAAGTTAAATACAAAGTATTCAGGGTCTTTTTCAGCATAAAAGGAAAAACCATTATGTTGGAACCTGTGAAATGCATAAAATATATAGATTTTTCAATTATGGTATTTCATATTTAAGTCTCTTACAAGTACTAACTAGGAAAATTGCAAAGATAATATGTATACAGTTGGCCCCTCTGTATCCACAGGTTCCACACACATCCAAGGATTCAACCGACCAGAGATTGAAAATATTCAGAAAACAATATTCCATGAAGTTCTAAAAGGCAAAACTTGAATTGTGCTGTTTTAACCAATAGGTGGCACTGCATTGTCACCTTGAGAATAGGTTGTTTGCTGCAGGATGTGTATATCAGCTTATGATTTTAAAATGTTCTAATATTTTATTAAAAGTTTTCTTTTCTCTTTGTAAATAAAAGTCAACACTTTAAAGTCTATTTTGGAATTGTTCAGGTCTTATGAAACTATGACAAATTTCTAGTGTATTGATTGCTTAATATGGGTAGAATTTGGAGAAACTTTTAATATACCATTTTGTGTTAAAGCACTCTGTCAGGTAAATTTTAGATTCTTTATAAAACTATACTTCAGAAATAAAGCTAAAAATAAACCCAAATTGATTAGGATATTCAATGCTAATATATAGAAAATGAAAATGCTACTAATATATAGTTCTTTGTCAAGGAGTGGCAATGAGAAGTTTACTTGGTTTTTGAATAGTAGGTAAGCACAACAGAAAGAATATTAAGGTGTATGAAAATGATTATAATAACTTAAAATAATTTTTTTTTTTTTTTTTTTCGGTACGTGGGCCTCTCCCTGCTGTGGCCTCTCCCATTGCGGAGCACAGGCTCCGGACGCGCAGGCTCAGTGGCCATGGCTCACGGGCCCAGCCGCTCTGTGGCATGTGGGATCTTCCCGGCCCGGGGCACGAACCCGCGTCCCCTGCATCAGCAGGCGGACCCTCAACCACTGCGCCACCAGGGAAGCCCCTAAAATAATTTTTAAAGTATTTTAGTCCAGTAATCTTACTTTAGCTTTTAGGTGGAGATAGGTGAGTGGTAGGAAAAGCACGTAATAGGAAGGTGCAGAAGCATAAATCTCTGAAGTTGCTTTAGGATTCTGTCAGGGTCTCCCCATCCCACAGTACTGACTTCTGGTCTCCAAAGAGAATACTGTTGTGTTGTGCCTTATAGTAAGCAAAACAGGTCTGCATAAAGAATCAAGACCCCATTTCTTCCTAAGGTATTAGCCTAAGTGTGTTGGCAGTGTTTCTTTCCTCCTAGATTGAGATTCCTATATCACAGTATAAAGTATAAATACCCATCATTTCACCAACTGTGCATCACCACCAATTCACATACATTTCCAGTGTCAGTCCTGATGACTGCTCTTTCCTAGTATGTGAACATCCAGGTTCATTTCTTATCTACCATCTTAATCCAAATCCCATATCTTGGTGGTGGATTGCTTTTTTAAGTTTTTTTTGTTTCTGTGCGTGTGTGTGTGTGTGTTTTTTCAGGGGTGGGGGCTAGAAATAATCATCTTCTATACAGTTAAATGTTTATGAGAGGTAAACCAGAGAATGACCATAACTGAACTGAATGCAGCCTGTTCACCTGAGGTTCTATAAATTTTATGTTCCCCAGTTTCCTAGGAAGGAACATTTTGATTAAAATACGTGTGTGTGTGTGTGTGTGTGTGTGTGTGTGTGTGTGTGTATGATTTTTTTCCCCACATCCCAGAGAGACTGATTATTTCTCTATGACAGCATCAGTTCTAATTTCAGGTGTTAATTTCATGAGACATACGAGTTCTTAAATTGTTTGCATCTCTGGTCTGGTTATTAGGGCCTATAGTTTGCAAGTTTAAACGAGGGGGAAAAAAATCAGCTTGAGGATGATAGTTCTTAACCGTTAATGGTCATGAGAGTCACCTGATGTGTTTGTTAAAAGGCCTGTGGCAGAACCCCACCCCCACAGACTCTGATTTGGTAGGTTGGGGGGCGCTTATGTATTTTTAATAAGCACCCCAGGTGATCTGATGTAGAGAGTTCTCACTGCAAGAAATAATATCTCAGGTCTTTTATCCTTTAGTTTACTATTTTTCTCTGAATCACTGTTATTACTTCTTCAAAGAATTAGACCAACTTATTTAGAGCATTAACTAAATTTGTAAGTACTATAGATAAGACTGTGAAATTCCTTTCTATTTAGAAAACAACAGTGATCATCTTCTCAGAAAATATTTTCTGCTTTAAATCAGTCAGTGTCCATTAACCTTTATAATCACTGTGTGGTTAGAAAGTATTTTACATAAATTGGGACTTGAGCATGGCTAGAATTTGGAATCCCTGGCACCAATCCCCCAAGGACACAGAAGGACAGCTGTAGAGAACAGGTTTTCTCAACCTTGGCATTACTGATTTATTTATTGATAAATCTTTGTTGTAGGGACTGTCCTGTGATCGTAGGTATTTAGCAGTATCATTGGCCTCTACCCACTAGGTGCAGTAGCATCCCTCCCTCCCAGTTGTGACAGCCAAAAATGTCTCTAAATATTGCAAACTGTTCCCTAGGGAGCAAAATTGCCACCAGTTGAACATACTACTGCTGTAAAGAAAGAAAAGGATTCTGAGAGATTAAGTGACTTGATGAAGATCACACCCTTAGGAAGGAAGAAGACAGACCTTGAGTCTGTCTTTCAAGTCTGGTGTTCTTTGCATTATGTATGACTACATCATCTCTGTAATCATACTCAAAAATTCCATAGTAGTTCAGGCAATAAGACAATATGACAAATTAGAGAAACCCAAGTTTTAGGTACAGGGCATAAGAGAGACCACATTTGGAACACTACCTGTTACCTACCTAATTCAGTGTCAACAAATCTACAAAACCTAATATAAGAAGTGTTTTTATGTGTTCACTCAGTACACGCTAGTAGGGCACATACTAAATGTCACTTGTTCTGGGCTCTTGAGAATATAGCACTGTCTTATCATACGGAACTTACATTCAAGTTGAGGAAAGAGGGAGTGGAGAGCAGTATAGGTAAGGCTTTCCGGAAGGGCCTCTCTGAGGAGATGACATTTAATCAGAGACCTTGAAATGATATGAAGGAGTAATCCAAGCAAAGGGCAATTCAGATCGAGGACACAGCAGTAGAAACACTGTGGCAGCAGCTTACTTGCCACGATAGAGGAACAGCAGGTATGTTGGCAGTGTTAAGTGCAGTGAGCAAGATAGGGAGTCAGGGGCCAAAACATGTCATGTGATTTTAGCCCAGAAAAAGGAGCTTGAAGTTTGTTTTAAATATTATGTGAAATCATTGGAGAAGTGTTTGAGCAGATAATTGATTTATGTTTTTAAAAGATCACCAGCTATTGTATAGGGGATAGGGAGTAGGGACAAACAGTGAAACAGGAAGACAGGAAGCTAACAGAATGGAGGCAGCAGAAGTGGTGAGAAGTTGTCAGGCTTACGAGGTTGAGCCGGCAGGACTGGCTCTTGGAGGAGTCATGTGTTTAGCCTTAATGACTATTCAGGTGGGGAAAACTGAGAGAAGTAGGTTTGGGAGGCTGGAGAATCAGTATCTGTGGGGGCAGGTTAGTCATCCAAATGAAGATAGCTGTTAGACAGTTGGGTATCAGTATCTTGGGAAGGGGTCAGGGTTGAAGATATTATTAGTCTATAGATGTTACTTAAAGGCGTGGGGCAAGATGAAATCATCCAAACCCAATGAGTATTGGTTTAGAAGAAAAGAGCCTTTGGAAAGTTGAACCCTGGGTCACTCCTACATTTAGAGGGCAAGGAGAGGAAGGAGAGCCAGCAGAAGAGGCCGAAAAGGATCTGTGTGGCTCAGGAAAGAAGTGAAAAAGGAGGGAGAGGTGGTCACCTTTGTTAAAATCAACTGAGAGGTCCAATGAGATAAAGACTGAGATTTTTTGATGAGTGGGAAGGACAAAATCCTGATCACAGTGAATTAAAAAAAGAATAGGAAATAAGGTAGAGTGAGTATAATGATCTCCTTTAAGGGAAGGTTTTTTATCTTTAATTTACATATATTAAAATCCACATATCTTAAGTATATATTTTGTTTTTTAGTAGAAGATGCAGTTTATTTGTACGCTGATGTGAATAATCCAGTTGAAAAGAGAAGATAATTGCAAGAGCAAAGCCTTGCATAGGCAGCAGAGGTTAGTCTGTAGAGTGCAGTGGAGCAGTTGGCCTTAGAATCAGGCAGAGTTCCTTCATTATTTTAGCAGAGAGGGCAGAGCCTAGGGCTACAGAAGCGGGGAAGGTCATAGATTTGTCTGTGAGAGGATGAAAGAGTTCTCTTCTGATGGCGTCGTAGTGAATTATGAAGTTGGATTTTTGGCTAGAGTGAAGACGTGAAAGGGAGTTGGATATTTAAGAAGTGAAAAAAAACATATCATAAGAATAGGGAGGTGAAAATAACTAGAGAAATACAGTAGGGTTTCTGAAGACCCATTTGAGGTTATTTGGTCACAACTTTAAAAAGACACCTATCCTTGAGCTATTTGTAATGAGGTGGATAGACCTAGAGTCTGTCATACAGAGTGAAGTAAGTCAGAAAGAGAAAGACAAATACCGTATGCTAACACATATATATGGAATTTAAGAAAAAAAAAATGTTATGAAGAACCTAGGGGTAAAACAGGAATAAAGACACAGACCTACTGGAGAACAGACTTGAGGATATGGGGAGGGGGAAGGGTGAGCTGTGATAGGGCGAGAGAGAGACATGGACATATATATACTAACAAACGTAAGGTAGATAGCCAGTGGGAAGCAGCCGCATGGCACAGGGAAACCGGCTCGGTTCTTTGTGGCTGCCTGGAGGGGTGGGATAGGGAGGGTGGGAGGGAGGGAGACAAAGAGGGAAGAGATATGGGAACATATGTATATGTATAACTGATTCACTCTGTTATAAAGCAGAAACTAACACACCATTGTAAAGCAATTATACCCCAATAAAGATGTTAAAAAAAAAAAAAAAAAAAGACACCTATCCACATAGTTGATTTGATCCAGCCACCTTCAGCTGCTGGAGGCACACAGCAGGAAGAGAAACCAGGTCTGAGGTTTTGTTTGTTCAAATAGAAGTACAGTTAATACACAATATTATGTAAGTCTCAGGTGTACAATATAATGATTCACAGTTTTTAAAGGTTATACTCCATTTATAGCTATTATAAAATATTGGCTATATTCCCCATGTTGTACAGTACATCCTTGTGGCTTATTTTATACCTAATAGTTTGTACCTCTTAATCCCCACCCCCTATCTTGCCCTCCCCCACGGGTAACCACTAGTTTGTTCTCTATATCTGTGAGTTTGCATCTTTTTTATTATATTTTCTAGTTTGTTGTGTTTTTTTAGATTCCACATTTATATGGATTATCATACAGTATCATATAGATTTACCTTTTTCTGACTTATTTCACTTAGCATAATGTCCTCTAAGTCCATTCATGGACTGTACAAGCAAAAGCAGCCATCAGAAGGGCTGCAGAGCTAACTGCTTCCTCTGAGGGTGTTACCTCCTTAGGTAGGTTTATTCATAGGTATTTTATTCTTTTTGATACAGTGGTAAATGAGATTGTTTCCTTAATTTCTCTTTCTGTTAGTTTGTTTTCAGTGTATAGAAGTGCAACAGATTTCTGTAATCAATTTCATATCTTGCAACTTTACTGAATTCATTGATGAGCTCTAGTAGTTTTCTGGTGGTGTCCTTAGGATAGTCTATGTATAGTATCATGTCACCTGCAAACAGTGGCAGTTTTACTTCTTCTTTTCCAATTTGGATTCCTTTTATTTCTTTTTCTTCTCTGATCACCATGGCTAGGACTTCCAAAACTGTTCTGAATAAAAGTGGTGAGAATGAGCATCCTTGTCTTGTTCTTGATCTCAGAGGAAATGCTTTCAGCTTTTCCCCATTGAGTATGATGTTAGCTGTGAGTTTTTCATATATGGCCTTTATTATGCTGAGGTTTGTCTCCTCTGTGCCCACTTTCTGGAGAGTGTTTCTCATAAATGGATGCTTTTTCTGCATCTGTTCTTCGTTTTTGACAGGTGAATCTGATGGAAGGAAGGAGAGCAGGGCACGAGCATGAGTTGTGCCCTGGAAGGTGGTTATCGCCTCTGACAAAGGGTAGAAGGGAGAACATGAGGCTCCTGAGTGCTGAACAGTAGAACATGCTGAGATCAATGGATTGGTGGACCTCATGGGGCTGTAGGAACAGGCATACTAAAGGATGTGAATCGGAGAGTCAGCAACTGGTGATCTGAGAATGGGATTCTTGAAATTAAGATTTGGGGGCTGTACAGTAATATATGATAATGGCAAAATTTTGTGTCTGTTGGAATAGGTAGCTGAGGTGGGGTGAGGACAGGATAGTTGGAAGTGAGGGAGGGAGGCAAGGAACTAAGAGTTCAGTGTTGATTGGATGTCTACACAGTGGAAGTCAGGAAGAAGGCTGGCACTGAGAAGAAGTTCAGGGAAGTCCGCTAGCTCTGAGATGAGGGCCTGCAACAGAAAAGGTTGGCAGGATGTAATCCGACTACATGCATTTCACTGGAGATGTGGTTTTTGCGAGAAGGAGCAGAAGAAATGGTTTGGAAAGAGTAATGAAGAGTGAGGCAGCCATCTCCCCCACTTCCAGGCTCGTGGTAGTTTGGCTGTACAAGCAAAAGCAGCCATCAGAAGGGCTGCAGAGCTAACTGCTTCCTCTGAGGGTGACAGGTTTCACATACAACAGGAAAGAGAAGGGGACATTTAGAGGCCAGGATGAGCAAATAGATCCTGCTATTGGCAGGAGTGAATTCCAGGGATCGCAGTGGAAGGATTTGGGCGCTGGGGACTTTTCGTCCTCAATTTAAATAATTTTGCTTTAGAAAACTCTCATATATGTTACTTAGTATATCTGGAGATATTGTAAAATGTAATGTATTCTTCAGGAACTGATTTGATCTTTAATTTACTTTACAACCTCTATATTACAGGAATGGTTTGCAGTTTATGTGGAACTTAATCAGCAAATTGCAGCACTCTTAAATGCTGGGGATGAGGAAGATCTTGTGGAACTGAAGTCGCTGCAGCAACAACTTAGTGATGTTTGTTATCGACAGGCCAGTCAGCTGGAATTTAGGCAGAATCTCTTACAAGCAGCTCTTGAATTTCATGGTGTTGCCCAAGATGTAAGTGTCTACTCTGATTGCTTTTCTTTTCTTCAAATTATCTGAATACTTATCTGCACATCATTTTTGCAGGTTTGCATGTCTCCTAATTATTTTTCTGGAACAGTAAAATTTACTGGTGGGGGAAATAAGATACACTTCTTTGATTTTTTAAAAAATTTTAAGTCATTCTGCATGCAACTAAACTTTTTTTTTTTTTTTTTGTCTAAATAGAGTGTCCCAACCTCTTAGATATATTTCATTTGGATAGTTTTTTCAGTCTTCATGCTTTATAACATAGATTGAAATGGAAGTTTCAATACTTTTTAACATTCTGCTGACCTGGACATACTTTGTCTTCCTGGTGCATGCATCTGTGTGTTCTGTCATTCAGATAACATGTATTCTAATTATTTGTCCTTGTCTTTTAACAGCAGAGTCTTTTTCAAGTATAATTGTGATAACCTCATTAGATATAAACCTCATTAATCATTAAACACTTTAGATGCTGATTACATCAGGGTTATCTCTTTGGTGTCCCTCTGCTTTAGTTGTCTCAGCAGTTGGATGGCTTATTAGGGATGTTGTGCGTAGATGTAGCACCAGCTGATGGAGCATCGATTCAGCAAACTTTAAAACTGCTTGAAGAGAAGCTGAAAAGTGTTGGTAAGCAGATTTTAAAAATGCTGAAACATAAGGGTTCTTTTTTTAAAAAGTATCACTACCATGGTTAGACAAGTCAACTTACACTGATCTAATTATAATTATTAACAGGGACCATAGGAAAAATTGGTATAAAAAAGGCTTTATCCCCTTAAAGGGTGTAATTTATGCTACAGTGTTTATTTTTCATTGTTGGTCAGTCACCCTTCCTTCACGGGGCCTTTAGCCTTTCTTGTTTACCCAGCCGAATCTACAGGTGCTATGTCTTGCATATTCTAGGAACAGTTATTTGTAGTGCATGCATAAACTGTAATTAGCTGTGAAATGTTCTGTGGTAAACCCTGTATGCCCCAAACTGTGTTTTATGCAATGATTTTTGTTGTTGCTATATCCTAACCTTGTGAAAAAATAGTTGGTTTGGTTCTGTGCATTTGTTTCTCCAAACTGGGAATACTGCCGAGGTTACATACTCTCCAAGGAGAGGATGGTCCATTTTCATTAAGCTAGTACCCTTACTTGACACCAGGGCTTTTTACATTTTACTACAGTAGGAAATACAGTGAATTTCCCTAAGACGTGACTGGGAGAGGTGGATAGTGGATGTGAAAATGGGAGGGGAGTTGTACTGAGTGGGACAGGGGGGCAAAGGAGAATGGAGGAGAGGAAAGCAGTAACGTAAGGCAGAGATTTAGTGGAAAATGGTGACATGTGATTGAACCAATTTAATTAATTTTGAAAAGGACTTGCGGGAATGGGTTTGAAAAATCACGTTTGTATTGGCATTTTACTTGCTTACAGTCTTCTTTATTTTTAACAGATGACATGAGGAATACATGTTTAGTATTTAATATGCCAAATGAAATTTATTTCAAAATGTCACAAGTTTTCTTAAACCATATTTTTCTTTTAAAAATGCTAAAAGAATTCTGGTATATGTACCTAATTTAGAGCCTTGTAAGCATAACCTAAGTGTTGCTTCTCGTTGGGTGTAAGCTGGACAGCGCCTATACTCAAAATGTTCAGTGTCCTTTTACAGTGAGAATACATTGCTTGAATGTTTTAATGTCTTGTAACTCATATATTTTTTGAACAGAATATTTGCCTTGTTCTCCTAAAAATTGGGACTACATAAAAACAGAAAGGAAAAAATTGAAAATCTTATCAAAATAAAAATTCTCACACTTCCTATTTGCAGTTTTGAAAAGTAATTGTTATATGGAAATTCACCTTTTGGAAATTCTCTTTAGGGAGAATTTGAATGAGAGGGAGCTCCAGTTTGAGCCACATTTAAAGGGGTTTTATTGATCGAAATATTCAGGGGGCTCCATCCCAAAGTAGTTTAATGTACAAAGTTGTTATACTTGGAATCCAAGTACAGTTATCTGCTGAGAGGATTTACTTAAGGGAGGGAAAGCGTCTCTGGTTTAAGAGATTAAATATAGTAACTTTTGTTTTAGATGTAGGATTGCAAGGTTTGCGTGAAAAAGGTCAAGGTCTTCTGGATCAGATCTCCAATCAGGCATCCTGGGCCTATGGAAAGGATGTAACCATTGAAAATAAAGAAAATGTGGACCACATACAAGGAGTGATGGAAGATATGCAGCTTAGGAAACAAAGGCAAAGTTTGACTGTTCATGTTAATTTTTGCTAAGATAACCTAATACTAATTAAAATGAAAAGTGATGTAATTATATTTTCCATACAAAGTAACAATTCTTACCTGTTATATAGTAGGCATGTAGTAGGTTTTTGGTGAATGTAATGATTATTGTATATAATTGTACTAACAAATAATGGCAGTTTGTTCAATTAATGGGTACATTTTCCCTTTTTACTCAGTGATAAAAATTGCGGTTCCACTCAAGTACATCACATTCCATATCCCCAGTGTAGCCTGTGACTCGTCTATCTTTTAAGAAAACTCTTTTTGGAGAATTTTGCTTTTCCATTTTCATTTAGTTTATAGAGTTGCTATTAAATCTGTCATTTACATTGATGTGTTTCTTCATCTAAACGTCTCAGAAATTTTCATGCATCCGTTGTTCTCATATTTGCTGTAGAAGGATTAGACAGTAAACTCTGGGTAAGATGATTTTTAGTTTCCTTTGATGTAGAACTAGGAATTTAAAGGGTTCTTTGAAAACTCAGTTTGCAATAGGAATTGCAGAGTATTGCAAAGTAAAGGATTAAATTAACATATGCTAGTATATATAGGCTAGCATGGTTGTGTGAAATCTTTGTACACTTAGAAATTCTAAGGTCATCAACAAAAACCTCACAGAAACTCTTCCCTTACATCACAGAGAAGATAGTCATTAGGCAGAAATTCCTTCTATCCTCATATCTGCAAACGTATCCATTTCATTATTTATTCTCATCACAAAGATGAAATATGTCTGCTCTTATCAAAGCCGTGTGTTCCCATCATCTTCTCACTCCGTCAATTCCCATTCTCTACTCTGATCCCTGCCTTTCATTTAAATGCTTAAATCTCTCCTATTAAAAAAAAATTAGACAATTACACACATGCATATACCTTCAACCCTTTGTCTTCTAGCCCTAGAATTCTCCTTCCTGACAGCTGTCATTGATGGTCTAATCTGCACTCATACTTCCTCACTGCCTCTAGTTACTTTTCATCCCTTCTCAGTCTCCCCTCTCCCCTCACCATTTCACTGGACATACTCTTACTGATGTCACCAGTGACTTTGTAATTGCCCTGTGTAATAAATGCTTGATCTTGCTCAAAATCCAGGGAATACTTTTGGTCCTGACATTGCTTGACCACTCTGAATAGAATTAGGCACAAATGACTTTTTCTTTCTTCTTGAAACTTCCTGACAACCTTGTCTTCTTTGAAAACACCCTCATGAGCCTCCTCCTGGCACTCTGTTTCTTCTTGGTTCTCTTCACTGATTTCTTGTCCTCTAGCTAACTTCACTGCGTTCAGGGTTTGTTCTGAGGCCAAATTCTCTTCTCACTCTTTGTCTTCTCCCTACTTTAATGACTTTCTTTAATATGACCGTGATTGAGTAGTTATGACTCTGACCCAGACCCCTCTTCTGTATGTTAGACCCGTAGTTCCTCTTACTTACTGAATGTCTCCACCTGGATGCCCCATACACTACTCAAAAAAACTAATATGGACAGACCAGAGTCATTCTCCTCCAAAACTTGCTCCTCTCCTTTAGCTTCCTATCCAGGTTAAAAATACCATCAGCTACCAAACCTGGAATTTATCCCAAGGATTTATTAAAATCCTTACTCTTCCTCATCCCTTACAGCCTAATCAGATGCCCAAGTTCTGCTGTCTCTGAATCATGAACACTTCTTTCTACCCGATCTTAGCTGCCTCTGGCATTGCTCATCTGCAATCTGTTGTGCAAGAGCACAGTCTTTTGTAAAGCTCACATCTAATCCCCAACTTCCTTGTATAAACCCCTCTCAGTGACTTCCTGTTTTCTCAGATGAAGTTCAGTCTCCTTGGAGTAGTGTAGGAGACCCTTCATAATCCAGTCCTGCATAGTCTTACCTCCTTTGATTTTTCTACAAAAGCACACACTTGTTTTCACTTTCCTGAACGCATCATGCTATTTCATGCATCCATGGCTTAGAATACGTCTTTCCTTGTTTTCTGCCAACTGGATTCCTACTTATTCTTTAAGACTCAGGGGTACTTATCCTTGGAAACTTTTTTAGATTTCTAAGGCAAGTTTGTTACTTGTCCCTCCCTATTCTCATACAGCTCCGCAGTAGTGTTTATCACATTGTTTATTTAAAAGTCCATCTCCCCAAATGAGACCATCTTAAAAGTAGCGACCATGTCTTATCCTTTTCAAGCACATTAGTCATACCTGACAATATGTGTTGAATATGTGTATGGTATCATCTTCATCACTGAAGTGTCTTACATTGTCTTTTAGCTTCAAATTGTGAAACTACTTATCATGATTACTTCCCTTCAGTCCCTTGTAGAATTGTTTAACCAAGTTACATTTTAACAATATGTTACGGGCTTTTGTTGAGGGCATCCTTATAAAAAATAGCCTTGTGACAATGACTTACCTATTGTTATCAAGTTTCCTTAAGAATATCAACTATAGTGGAGTCCAGTGCCTCATGGGTAGCTTGTTATTGGTATTTGGCACTGCATTGAGTTTCCATGTTCCCATCTAAAGTTCATGGAATTGCATGGGAATGAAGGGAATCAGAATGAAGGGATCAGAGATGAGCTAGATCAAGTCCGCTTAAAATTGTAATCTGTATATTATCCAGGCAGACCACAGTAAAATTTAAGAATACTCTGAATTGTGTTTCTCTCCACCCAGAGATCAACACAATTTTTTTTCTTTCTTAAAACATAGATGGAAGTTTTTTTAAATTCAAAATTAGATATTACTCTGGGTAATGTGTAATGTAATGAAAAGCTTTATTTGTTTTTTTATTCCCTTGGAGCATCATTCTCTAAACTAGAATTTTAGAAACTTTACATTTTTATCTTTGAAGGTTGTTTAATGCTAATTGGCAGTTGATATTGCTTCGGGTTTTAGTGTACTGCTGTGTGTGTGCTTTGCTTCAGTATTTTGCAGAATCCATACTATACTCAGAAGGGTTTATGATTGAGTAGCATTCAGATATTTTAAGGTTTTGATATAACACAGATACAGATATCCTTAAAATTCTTACAAATCAATACAAAATAGTTACAGTCTCCATAGTGTAGGACTGAGTATTTTAGTATACTGTAAAACATGTGTGCCAGATGGTGGTGTTATACTAGTTATCAACAAAACTGAAATGTCCTAAATTTATGTTTGGATTTATTAGATGTGAAGACATGGTAGATGTGCGAAGATTAAAGATGCTTCAGATGGTGCAGTTGTTTAAATGTGAAGAAGATGCTGCCCAGGTAAAGATCAATCAGGCACATTATGCACTTGCCTTTTCTTAGAAGATTGATTTCACCTAACTATAAAAAAAGTGTACTTTTCATGGTCCTAAGCAAGTAATTCATTAAGTCACATTCTAGTTTATCCTGTCAAAATAATAAAGTTCTGTATTCCCACTTACCTTACTGGTCTCATTTTTTTAAAATTTATTTTAATTAATTTATTTTTGGCTGCGTTGGGTCTTCGTTGCTGCGCGCGGGCTTTCTCTAGTTGCAGCGAGTGGGGTCTACTCTTCGTTGTAGTGCACGGGTTTCTCACTGCGGTGGCTTCTCTTGTTGTGGAGCACGGGCTCTAGGTGCGTGGGCTTCAGTAGCTGTGGCGCACGGGCTTCAGTAGTTGTGGTGCGTGGGCTGTAGAGTGCAGGCTCAGTAGTTGTGGTGCACGGGCTTAGTTGCTCCGTGGCATGCGGGATCTTCCCGGACCAGGGCTCGAATCCGTGTCTCTTGCATTGGCAAGTGGATTCTTAACCACTGCACCACCAGGGAAGCCCTTACTGGTCTCATTTGACTTATCTTCTCAATGAAATGCTCTATTGAGCTAGAAATTGGGATTATTTATTATTTATTACTGTTGATTTGGTTGTCAGTTACACATCCCAGGATGAAGCCTGGTGTAGCTTATTGCTTTTTAACGCACAAGAAGGTTTTTCAGCTAGATAAACAATTTGCTATCTTTGTATAGTTAGCATCAAAGAACATGATTCCAGCTTGACATAGAAGAAACTTATGATTTTAAGTAGTAACATAAATCTATAATGAGATTCCAATAAGATTATATTACATAAACACATGATGTTCTGTTAGTATAAATCATGCGATGTTAATTTTAAATGAGCGCTTCTCTTTAATAGGTCTTGTCTTTAGATTTTTTTAAATTTTGAGTGGGAGGAGAGGTCATTAATTCATGTAGCTTGGCATTGAATGAAATAAGCTATTAAGGTTATAACTAATGGATTAATTAATCACATGATAGTAATCTTTCTTTATATAAATATGATGTTTTGATATAAGACATAAAGAGTTATGAATCCAGCTTCACTGTTATTTATTTTCATTTAGGCAGTAGAATGGCTAAGTGAACTTCTGGATGCTCTTCTTAAGACCCACATCAGATTGGGTGATGATGCTCAGGAAACAAAAGTTCTACTGGAGAAGCATAGAAAATTTGTTGATGTTGCCCAGGTGCAGAACTGGTTATCTTCCTTTTCTACAAGCTATGTGTTTGCATAGCTTTCTGCATGATTGTAATGTAACTTAAGATTGGTTAGGTTAATCCAGAAATATTACAGAACTAAGAAAATGTCAGCCGGTGAATCAAAACTAGCCTGCATAAACTTGAGAGGGTTTATGTTTTCCTGAATACAGGTTCTGTATGCTTCCTCTGATTTATGGTATATATTATGACATTTTTAGGCACTAACTGTTCATTCACGAAAGTAAATCAGTAAATGACAAGCCCTAGTTTCTGCATCTCACTAGTGTTAGCATAGCAACACAGATTTTTTTTTTTTTTGCATGTGAAAAGTATCTTAATTTATTTTCCCTAACTATTGAGTTCACATTGTAACAGTGTGGTTTCCTGTATGTAATATAAGGTGCCCACTTGCCACCCATTCGTTTTGATCAATGAGGGAGCAAACCTTTTTTTTTTTTTTTGTGGGGTGGGGGGTCATGGTTGAGCAGACCGAGGTGGGGAAAACAGAGTAAGAGAGGGAAGCCAGACAAGAAATAAACTTAATAAAAATTAACTGAAAGTATTGCTTCCCCTTTATCATTTATGCATGCAGAAAATTTGTAGCAATAAATGCCAGTGGACTTACTCATTATTGATTTCTAGTAGTGTTGTTTAATTGTAATCTCAGTCCTCCTGCACACTTTCCCATCCCTCTTTTCAGAATTCTTTTATTATAATTTCATGTTGACTTTTTCTTTTTTAGAGCACTTATGACTATGGAAGACAGTTGCTACAGGCTACAGTTGTGCTGTGCCAGTCTTTGCGCTGCACCTCTCGATCATCTGGGGATACACTTCCTCGACTGAACAGAGTATGGAAACAATTTACCATAGCATCTGAAGAGAGGGTACATAGGCTGGAAATGGCTATTGCATTTCACTCAAATGCTGAAAAGGTTCGCTTTTTTAAAAATGTAGTTTCAGTAGTGTTTGTATGTTTAAAATGTGTTAACCTTGTAATTTTGTTATTAGTCTGTTTTTAAAAAATTTATGTTAATTCCATTGTTTAAAGCTTGTCTAGGTATAATATATTGTCTTAGAAAGTTCAAATCAGATTCTTAGTAAGCCATACCAGTGCTAGAGTACTATGGTTAGAGGAGTTGAAACTATCCAGTAGTCCTCTCTCAGCAGCACGTCTCTCCTCACCAGACCTGGTGCCCAGAATGTACTGTCTGTTCTTTCAGGTGTCATGACTCCCATCTGTTTCATTATGCCAGGAAAGGAAACTTTGCTTTGGCAACTACTACTAATTGTCATAAATTTTTTAAAAGGTCATTTGTGATTTTTATAATGTTTAGAGACTGTCCAGCTAAAATTATGAGAGTAAGGATAAAAATAAAACTTTTTTTTAATGTGTTATCTTTAAAGATTCATTCTAGAATTTATTATTTAATGAACTCATTAGTCCCAGAAACCAAAAATGAAATATGCCGGCAAATTTTCAATAGAACCTTTTTCTCAACTGCACAGTGAAAATTTATAGCACCCAAGCCTTATATTTCCATTCCAAAGAGGAGTCTTACTAAGTAGTTAACTTTGTTTTGATCTCTTAACGATCACACTTTATATGTAGGGAATGTTCAATACAATTTAAGATATCGAGAAACCTAAGATGTAAATGTGATAGCCTTAGTCTGTAGAACAGAAGAGAAATTGCCAGGAACCTCAGGAATTAAGCAGTTTCTGTCTGTGTTATGCAGTACATCTGTTAGGAAATGTCCACAGTTAACTCTTTTTGAGCTGGTCACTGAACTCCACAGGTCAATGTTTTAGTGTAAAATGGGCCTGGTGATGATGAATGAAAGTACACAGAATGGCTTGACTTGTTTATCTACTGATTGTCTTAATGAAAACTTTTTATTGAAGTATAGTATTAACATAGAAAAGTGTACAGCTCAAATGTTCTGCTCACTGAATTTTCATAGAGTGAGCATGCCTGTGTAATCAGTGCACTATTCAAGCAACAGAACGTTACCAGTACCCCAGAGGCTCTCCACCCTCTTTTAATCACCCTGCTTCTGCTGCCCATCCCGGGGTGACCACTGGCCTGATTTCTAACACCACTGATAACTTTTTAGGATCGTGCTTTAAAAATGTATCTGCAAGGACATTTTAAAACCTAGATCTCTTTAAGAAGTTATGTAAGAATGAATATGGTTGAGACTATTTTCATAGAAAATTAATGTTCTTATTTTTTCTGGTACATGGGCTTTATCATGCTTGTAATAAACTCTTTAAGTTATTTTATTGTGCCAACCTATGTAAAGCCTTTTGTTATCAGATGTTATTTTTCTTTTGAGTGTGTTGTATTTTGTACCAGTAAGCATAAATATAACCACAACTATAAGCAACTTGTATAGCAAATGATAGTGATTGGAAAAATATTTAAATTGAATCTAGAATTTTACAATATGAAAATGTCCTTTATGAGTAATGCTGAAGTAAACATAATTGGATTAAGTAAACTATAATGTTTACTTAAAGTTGTAAAAATAAATACTTTCTTCTGCCCCAAATTTTGCAGGTTTTTTTCTTGGAGGTAATTTTTTTAAATTAGTATTATTATTTTAAATCTGGAGTGTATCTTAGACCCATAGAACATCTCAATTTGGGACTAGCCATACTTCAAAAGCTCACTAGCCACATGTACTTAGTGGCTACTGTGTGTGGATCTGTACTTGTAGACTTAACTATTACAAATCACAGCATTTTTTTTCTTTCTTTCCTTATTTTCTTTTGTACCATTTAAATGGTAATAGTTAAGGAAAAAAATAATATCAAGGACTGTAGAACTTCCTATGTTTGAATTAAAACCTTAATCAATTTACATCTTTTTTTGTTTTGTTTGTTTGCTTACATCATTTAACTCAGGTCAGTGGATCACGTTTTAAAATAACTATAAAGTTTCTAGCTAGGTAATCACATCAGTTATATGTTTGTACTCTGAGTGTATGTTGTTATGTATTTATATTTTCTTTCATTTTTGAAGTCTGTAAGCTCTTTGAGGTCAAAACCTGTATCTCATTCATATCCCAAGCTGCTACATAAACATGAAGTAAGTATTCAAGAAATAGTTACTTAATGAATGAAAGAATACTACTTTTTAAGCACAGTTTGAGCTTAGATTCCAAATAGTAGTCTAGTATTATTTTTTTCTTGGAAATCACTATATACCTCTTCATACTCCAGTTATATTATTAGTAGGGATTGTGTATTTCATTTTGTTTGAATTTCTTGGGCCAGCTTTGATCAATCTTCTATAATGGCATACACGAAGATGCTAAGAACAGAACAAAAACATCTTCAATCTACTAAATTTGCATGAACTTGATTCCTCTTCTGTGTCCCTTGATTGATGTTTCATTTTTATTTGTTGCAGATTTTGCAAGACTGTCCAGAAGAGCCTGAAGCTATTAATGATGAGGAGCAATTTGATGAAATTGAAGCAGTTGGGAAATCGCTTTTAGATAGACTAACAGTTCCTGTGGTTTATCCTGATGGGTATGGTGCATGTTCTTACAATTTGTGTTTTTATCAGTAAGGTCTTAAAGGGATATCAAGAGAAGAAAGTCTGTTTCTTAAAAGTCCTGGTAAATTAGCTTTGGTTCACATTTTCAATTTCTACAAAAGATTAGTTTAAAATGAAAAGAAATCCATACTGGGCTCTTAACAATAGTAGCAGTTGGTACTTGCTGCTGTCAAATTTATTGCTCTTGATAGCTTGTTGTAGAATAAATATCATCAACTAGGTTGACATCTTGGGTTCTCGCCTTGACTTTGATGGTAAGGAGCTGGGTGACTTTGGGCTTCATTCATGGAAGGGACGGGGAGGGAACTAATGTTTAGTAACTAAAAATATATACCAAGCCCCAAGTTAAACACTTCACCTTAATTACTTTTGACCAGGGCTAGAGCAGTATGATTATTTTGATTCACAAATGAAGAAACTAAAGCTCGGAAAGATTAAGTAAGGTCCTCAGGATTTCACAGCTTCTAAGTGGAATTAGAATATAGTTTCAGGTCTGTCTAGCACCAGATCCATTCTCTTTTCACTGTGCTGTATGGAGTCCTAATTTCTTCATTTGTAAAATGATGGGGTCGTGATTCTCACATTCCTTTCCATTTCAAATAGTTGATCATAAAAATAAGAAATAGCCTAGTAAATGAATCAGAAGGAGCTTTATCTACAAGGAGCTAGACCTTCTCAGTAAAAATAATTTAGAAGTAATCCAGAGGATGTTGAATTAAAACAATAGAGAGGGCTTCCCTGGTGGCTCAGTGGTTGAGAGTCCGCCTGCCGATGCAGGGGACATGGCTTCGTTCTCCGGTCCGGGAAGATCCCACATGCCGTGGAGCGGCTGGGCCCGTGAGCCATAGCCACTGAGCCTGTGCGTCCGGAGCCTGTGCTCCGCAACGGGAGAGGCCACAACAGTGAGAGGCCCGCGTACCGCAAAAAAATAAATAAATAAAAAATAAAACAATAGAAAAACCAAACCATTGAATACAGGTATCCTTACATCATAACATACTGTAATGGGTACGATTGTGGACTCTGGAACCAGATTTGTTGGGTTTAAATCTCAGCTCCGCCACTTATGAGCTATGACATCTTGGGCAAGCCACTTAACCTTTCTGTGCCTCAATTCCCTCATCTAAAAATAGGGATATATGGGGCTTCCCTGGTGGTGCAGTGGTTGAGAGTCTGCCTGCTGATGCAGGGGACACGGGCGTGCCCCGG